CAAATGCTACATGATACTATTCCAACAAATGAAATTATTTATAAAAGAATTATCAATGATTGCAATATTCAATCATTTTCTGATATAATGAAAACTATTTCATGGGAAAATGTACTTTTGAACAACAACACTGTAGACTCTTATAATTCTTTTTTCGATTTATTCTCAAAAGAATACGAAAAAAACTTTCCCTTAGCCAAAAAGATGAAAAAAAGGAAAATTGACAAAACTAGAAGTCCATGGATAACAAATTGCATTGCTGCTTCAATTAATAAAAAGAACAAGCTCTACAAGAGATACCTACGTCATCCTTCAGCAAGCAATGAAAGTAAATACAAACAATATAAAAACAAATTGAATCATATCATAAAAATAACAAAGAAAAAATTTTATGAAGAACAACTGATAAACTACAAGCATGATACAAAATTACTATGGAAAAAAACACTAAATGAGATAATGAATAAACGCAAGACTATCAAAACACTCCTCAAAGAATTTATTGGAAATAGCCCTGAAGACATTATAAGTGATCCACACACGATAGCGAATAAGTTCAATGATTATTTTGTGGATGTTAGACCAGGAATAGCAAGAAAACTTCCAAGTAGTGAAAGGTCCTTCAAAGATTATTTATCTAATAACAATAAATTAAGAAAGCTTTTTTCTTGAACCAATCACAAAACATGAATTAGAAATTGACATAAGAAATTTAAATGCTAAAAAAGTCCAGGTTATGATGGCATAAGCTTACAAGTCATCAAGAAAATTGCTAACGAAATCTCTGAACCTCTTTCACACATATTCAACTTAACCTTTCTAAGCGGAACTATTCCAGATAAATTAAAAATAGCTCTAGTTACTCCAATTTATAAAGCAAATGAAAAAAATGAATTCAAAATTATAGACCAATATCTGTTCTTACTTGTTTTGCAAAATTATTGGAAAAAGACATGTATAGGAGATTAATTAAATTTATAGAAAAAAGTAAAATATTAAGCAAGCACCAATATGGTTTCAGAGAAAATAGATCTACTGAGCTTGCAGTCATTGAACTTACCGATAGAATTACTAAAGCGATTGATAAAGGAGAATATACAATAGGTATATTCCTCGATTTGTCAAAAGCATTTGATACTATTAATCACAAGATTCTGGCCCAAAAATTAGAACATTACGGCATACGTGGAGTTACTCAACTATGGTTTGACAATTATTTAACAAACAGAAAACAAATTGTCAAGTACAATCAAACTAGGTCAGAAGAAATGACAATTAAAACAGGTGTCCCACAGGGTTCAATCCTTGGACCTATTTTATTTTTACTTTATATAAATGATATTGAACATAGCAGCAATTTACTTTCGTTTATACTGTTTGCAGATGATACTAATATCTTTTATAGCAACAGCTGTCTTAAATCACTAAATAAGGTCATACAAGAAGAGGTGAATAAAGTTGCAGAATGGTTAAATGCAAATAAACTATCTCTAAATATTAAAAAACCCAAATATATTATATTCAGATCTACAAACAAGAAATTAAAACAAAATGTAAAAGTTAGCGTATATAATGTAAACATAGAACATGTCAAATTCACAACCTTTCTTGGTATAACAATTGATGAGTATTTGACTTGGAATAACCATATAACTGAGGTATCAAAGAAAATCACAAGAGCCTCGGGAATAATAGCAAAAATAAGACACTTGATAAACAGAAATTCACTGAAGCTAATTTATTACACATTAGTGTATCCATATCTTATTTATGGCAACTTGATTTGGGGTAATACCTACAAAACCCGAATTCAAAAAATATTGAATATTCAAAAAAAAATTGTGCGTTTGATAACTTTTAGATCTTACTCGGAACATACAGAACCTATATTCAAAGAATTACGCATTTTAGATATTTTCAAAATAAATGATTACCTAACTGCTTTGTTTATGTATCGATACTATTATCTTAAAAATTTACCAGAAGCATTTGAAAATTATTTTATAACAAACAATGAAATTCATAACTACAATACAAGAAATGCAACAAAACTACACAAGTGTTGTAAAAGAACTAATTATGTCACACATAGGCTACTCTTTCTAACAAAGGGGTTAATCTATGGAATACATTAGATACAAAATTCAAAAGATTAAACTCTTACAATGTCTACAAAAGATTAATCAAACAACATGTTATAGTGAGCTAGATCTTCTTCAACTTATATGCAATGACCACAGATATACAGCAACCGTTAATTCTATAGCGAAAATTGTGTAATCTTGTAACTGTATATTATGATATAATATCCTTCTTTTGTAAATAGTATATACTTTTAGGTCTTACTTCAATAATTACTCTTCACTGTAAATATATATGCAATTTTTTTTAAACCTAACTAGTGGCCTACATTAAAAAGCCTGAAAAGGTTTCCAGTAGGTCTCTAGCCCAACACCTTCAAACTACGCATAGTATTTGTTACTTATTATTGTACATACACATGGGAAATAAATATATTTTGATTGATTGAACCCATAATAAAGGCATGACTGTTGTGTGCTTTACTCCACAAGAAATAAGGGGCAAGGGATATTGGTAAACAAGTATTACCAATCAATCCTATTCCCTTTTAATCATAATGTCCACTGTGGTCAAAGCACCCTATAATAATAATTATTTACTCTCTAACAGCAGATGATCTTACTCATCAAGGCCAATTTTGTACCTTGATGAGTAATACGCATACAAAATACTAAACTGTTTCATTACATATTTTATGTCTGAACCTTTGACATTGCAACAAAATAGGTTTGGGTGGGGTAAAAAAATTTTCTGGCATTCCACCGGTGGGGTAGCTAGAAATTTTTTTTCGAAAAAGGTGGGGTAATGATTTTTTCCGGCTTCATTATACTTTCTCTTCGGCCCCCACCCCTGCCATAAATAATGACCGGTCCCTTATTTCATAATACATGATTGTATATAGATATATCCAAGTGTGCATGCTCGTCATTCACAAATGTTTATAATATCTGAAGGGTCTAGAGTGTAATTATATGTTTCCAATTTTAGTTCCTTTGGGTAGAAATCCTCCAGATATACAAGGGTTAGAAGTGGAACACTGGGCAAACTCGACCAAAACGATCTTAACCTGGAATAAAAATGCAATCAACGCGTCACACGTGGACATTGAAATATCTCTTTTTGATACCTTTGAGTTCCGTATTCATGAAGCTAGTTTAGTAAGCTTTAAACATGTCCCTAATTCTGGGAACTACCATCTTGATTTCAGCGAGGAAAATATTTTATCAAATACAACGTAAGTATATGTATAAAGTTAAACTGCTGAAAGCATGACTATAGGAACTTATTGCGCATTTTCGATCAAAACGATTGAAAGGCTAAAAATATCTTTGCCTTCCAAACAAGATCATTTATCTCCGAGCCAGCGGGCGTAAGCCAGTGACGAGGGTATTATTTCCGCATGGATATTTACACCCGGGAAAAGAAAGGCTGCTCGCGGTTTCAAAAGTGGGGTAGGGGGTGGTCATCTCACTGAATATCAAAATATGGCGGACTGCCAAGTGTGGAATGAGTCAAATGCAAAAATTTATGGAAAAGTCGTTTCATACGATGAGCTGTGAAGCGATTTTTAAAATTTTTGTTTTAATAGAAATGACAAGAAGAGATGTAAGATGAAAAATGATGAAATATAAAGCCACTTTTTTTCATTTGTAAATGTGTACTACGTTGTTTTCGGGTTTTCCAATTGCCTCCTAAATTGCTCTATTTTATATTTTAAAAAAATATAGAATTAAAAAACTTATAAATTATTTCCAAGGGCGAACTGTATGATTGAAATTTTGTTGCAACTAATAAAAATACTAAGTTAAATAGTTAATCGGTAAAAACTGCCAAACAATTAAAATAACATATACATTATAAGTTAAATGAACATTTCTTGTAGCGTTCAAGGTTGAATATTACCTTATTAAATTCAAGCTTATAGAGTGAAAAATAACATACCTGCTTTATATATTTTAGAAATTGATAGTTCGATAGTTTTTTTCCGTTTTGCACAAAAAATGAAAAATTAAAAACAGTGATCGTGCATTCGTGTTCCAATGACTAATATAACACCAACAACACGAGCCTGCGTTTATTGGTGGTGTAATTTAGAATGTTTAGGAAAATAAAGGCGAGGGTTTGATGCACGCATGCATGTATTTCAAGTTTAGTAGCCGATGCATATAGGCAAGCGTCTTAAGTTTTCGGTACATCAAAAATCGGAGTAACTCGTATAGCCAGTATAATATTGGACAGAAGTTTGGAATGGCGCGGTCGCTTTTTATGCCAATTTTGTTTCCTAGTAATATGGGTATGTTTACCCCTAAATCAAAGATTACCCAACATTCATGTCAAGAAAGTCAAGCCGACATTGCCAAAAGTCCATTTTAAGAGTGTTACAAATTTTGCACAATACAAACCCCAACGTCTGTAGAAATCCAATTACCTATCTCTAAGTTACAACTTGTCTTGAAATGTTTTTGATGTAAATTATCAGAATAGTTAATTACATTTTTTCTCTACAGGAAAACACAACGAAAGAGAAGTTCGAATACGGAATCACCGATTGCAATTCTTGGCATAACACCATCGTTAGTTAGAGTAAAACGATTTTTTCCAGTGCTTCCCATCATTTCCAGAGTAGCAATTTATAGTTCAACTTTTATTGTTCGTTGGCTGGTTTCCCACCACAGTGAACAATTGTGCAACAATTGGTATGCTTCTCAAGATACAGATAAAATCGCAAGATTGCAAGGTAACCAAAAGCTTGTAGCCAGCTAAAGAATCATTTTTAAGTCCGTCACTATGGGCACCAGCGAGCATGGTGCGGAAATTAAAAGTTGTATTTTTAATATAAAAATTCCTGTTGAAAATTTAAAATTGTAATCGTTCTGAGGGAACTTTATGCATTTTTCTGACCTGCGTTCGACGAAGCAAACTTGCTTTCTAAACTTCAACTATATACATTTTTAACTGAAAATTTATTCTTACTCTGATCCTTTGTCGGGGGTTAAAGCAGGTAATCTCATCTTCACACCAAATATTTCTAGCAACCAAAATATTATAATTATTCCAGACTTTCCCTATTCCTGAAATTTATAGGAGGCACCTCAGTAATTTTGAATAAGTTTTTATTGAAATGTTCAGACACATTCCTTCCGGCAATATTCAACATTCTTGAATCAAATATTCATAGTCTTACAACAAATTGATTGTTGGATCGAACAACCAAAATATTATTATTGACCCGTCTTCGGTGGTACTCGCAGGTTCAACGGAAGCAACTTTTAAAATATAGCAACTGTAGCTTTCGATCGAGCTTTCCAGTATTTTATAATCTACCTCTTCGGTATACAGTTTTCATAATTTGTGTCACTCAATTTATTCCAACTTGGATTTAAAAGACTAAATGGAATAAATAAATTATAGGTCTTCATTTATAGTCTATTCATTATTCTCATAACAGACGAGTTACTTCCATGTGCAACAAGCTTTCAACAAATATCAGCCGATGATGAATTTTTGGAAGATTCTGGGATAGAACGAATATTGAGCCAATTCTTTCATCCCGGCAGTACGTCCTGTTTTCGATCCAGAAGCGCGAGGTACGGTTAAACTTACATCTGCAATTTTAATAAGTAATTATGTAAAATAATATGTAAAGAATATATCATAACCCAACTGCAAGCCGGAAAATAGAAGGGACTTATTGTACAGCTATCAAATGGTTTATGGCGACTACATTAATTTAAGATAATAAAAGTTATATAATTACATAGTTGATAGCATAAAATATGGCATATAGGCTACTATATTTTTATATGAAAATATAACGAAAAAAGTAAGCAAATATGTAACCATTTTAAGCAAATATGGAACTAGTTATAGTTACAGTTACCTCCTTTCAAAACGTAACTATGTAGTTACCGCTACAGTTGCCTAAAAAAGTAACGATTACTTGTAATTTCCTTACTTGTAACGAAGTTACTTACAGCACTGGTCCTGGCTTGTGTCCTACCATAGATAATAGAAGAGAAGGATAGGCAACTCCATTGTCTCACAGCAAAAATTAACTTCATGTTGAAAGACAATGACATGCCCTATATGGAAGTAAATTCTATGGACACGTCACGATAAAGCGACCCACCACGTGACGGTAAAGCGACTGATTAATTCAACCCAGTCGTTGCTATTGGATGAATGTCTCATTATACAGAAAATACAATGCCGTGAATGACTTGAATAAATGAATAACGTGAACAAAAACATAGAACAATGAGTTCCCTATCCTTCTCTTCTATTATCTATGGTCCTACTAAGCCAGGTACGTGTGGTTACAAGACAACCGTGACTGCCAATCCAATCATAATGCAAAATGGGAGAAAGAACACTACCTTGCCTCAAGTTTAGAACACTCGATATGAGCAATGATGTTATGGAATGATGTATGTTGTGGTTTTAAGAGGGCAAGGCAAATGTTGCTCTGCGCAATCTTGGGTAATGTATTATTATGGCAGACTTTGTTGTGTTCCGTTTTTCGTCTTGTAATGCGATGTTGTGTAGTTTGTAATTAGTACTTTAGTAGTGAATCTTATTTCCGCCATTCTTGTAAATTATATGGATGTTTGTATGTGTATATATTAGTATATTAATATGCTCACATATTTAAGTGCAACGATGCAATACGTTTATACTGGCACCATGGTATTTTTAGCCCTTATGGTTATTTAATGGTTGCCAGTACCCTTAACAAATACACTGCTAAGTTGTAATATAATATTTCCAAGATGGGTAAATAAAGATTAATTTGATTTGATTAGTGATTTGTGTAGTTGTGGTGGAATCTATCAATAAGTATTTGAGAGGATAACTTATAAATAATGCCCTGGGCCGTCACAAGGGGGTATGCGTGAGTAGTATGGAGAGTGGGGGTTCTGGCGCAGGCGGTGCACGAAGCACCGCCCATGACGTCATCGATTCTCAAATATTTTAATTTATTCATGTCATTTTAATTTATTTGAGCTTACTTGATATTTTTGAACTGCTGTCGTTTGTTTATCTACATTCTACAGTTTATATTTCTGGCTACTTCGCTACCGTTTGTTTATCTGCAGTTTTTATTTCTGGCCACTACGATGTCGTTTGACAGTTCGTAATTGGGGGTTCTGGAGCGGGTGGTGCTTAGCACCACCCATGATGTCGTCAAAGGATGTCACATCATACCTATTACACGCGCTTGTAATGTATTTAAAGAGTGTGGACCAATTATTACTAGCATTTTAAGAAAAATTTTACAGTGGATTTCAACATATTCTCGATATATATTCCACTAAAGTTGTTGTAATGCTTGTGGGACGTATATATTATACTTATACGCATGCGCAGTGAGAATTGTGCATTACGAAAATCTCTGATTTATAGGAGTTTGCAAAGATTCTAGGGGAAATTTTACAGAGAATATCCCGGTTTATCCAAAATTCTCCAAAATCATAAACGACAGTAGAAATAGAGCAAAAAGGTGTATTTGAATTCGTCGTATTACAAGGTTTAATTAGATTATCTTAGAGTGTCCGCTACTTTAACACCATCCTTGGTTTTCCCTGGGGATGTATTCACCATGTTTAGGACCATTAAACAAGGAATTAGTAATAAGAATTCATACATACATATGAAAATTTTTAAACAGAACTAAGCAGTTGCTAAACCCAAGTTAAAATCGTGGTCAACGCCGTTGTGATGGTCGATATTTGCATATTACAGAGTCATTAAAAAGTGATTAACCCGCCCACTGCGTGTGGATATATACAATTTTTTTTATTTCACCCAGCGAGCTTGAGACAGGAAAAAATACTAACAAATAGAGAGTTATCACAGATTATATGCAAGATATATCGAAATTTTGTCGTTTGTGGCTCTCGAAAACGTATACCGCCAAAGTCATTAACAGTCATTAAAGGATTACAAGCAAAATTTTAATCTCTTAAGTGCTTATTATGGATAGATAGGGATTATTTATTACCCTAAACTCGGGCGCGTGGCTTTGCAGGCAAGTTCCGACAAGATTTCACTTTTAAAATACATATATTTCTTCAAAATGTTTTACAAAGTTATGCTTCTAATATATATCGTCACTTGTTTGAGACGTTTCACTGTCCACTCGTCATCGTGGCTGCTTTCATCATTGTGGCTGCTTTCATCACCCGAGATATTAACCAACTCTCTCGGAGCCGATCTCCATAGGCTTGGAGTCAAGTTCGATTGGCTCAGAGCCGTGCACCAATAGGCTCGGAGCCGAGATTGAATGGCTCGGAGCCGAGCTCCCTAGCCTTGGAACCGTGCTCCTTAGACTCCGAGCCGAGCTCGATAGGCTCCGAACCGAGCTCGATAAGCTCCAAGCCGAGCTCAATACGCTCCGAGCCGAGTTTCCTAGGCTCGCAGCCGAGCTCCATAGGCTCGGAGCCGAGCTCCCCAGACTCGAAGCCAGCTTCATAGGCTCCGAGCGGACCTCCCTAGGCTCGGAGCCAGCTCCTTAGGCTCGGAGCCGCGCTCCCTAGGCTCGGAGCCAGCTCCATAAGCTCCGAGCCGAGCTCCATAGGCTCCGAGCGGAGCTCCATAGGCTCGGGCCAGCTCCTTAGGCTCGGAGCCGAGCTCAAATGGCTCGGAGCCGAGCTAGAATGGCTCGGAGCCAAGCTCGATAAGCTCGGAGCCGAGCTCCATAAACGCTAGGATTCAATGATTCAATCTTATGATTCAATGAATCAATCTTATGATTCACAGAGGAGCAGAAGCTCCATAGGCTCAGAGCCAGCTCCTTAGGCTCGATGTAGGGTCGATGTGGGGTCGATGTAGGGTCGATGTAGGGTCGATGTAGGGTCGATGTGGGGTCGATGTGGGGTCGATGTGAGGTCGATGTAGGGTCGATGTAGGGCTAGGAGCATAGGAGATAGGAGCCACCGAAGTCCTAGTGATACGAAACAAATTGGAATTGTTGGAGAACGAATGTTTGATAAGAATAGAGTCCACTTTATGAACGCCTATTACAAAGACTCTGAAAAACCGTTTGGATACTTGTTGGTGGATAAGAAGCCTGATTCACCAGCAGATAAACAAGTTCTTGGGGACCTGTTTGGCTTTATTGTTCATTCGCCAGGTGGCGAAGAGATAAACACGGCAGTCGCCAAACAGGTCCCCAAGAATTTGCTTATCTGCTGGTGTATCAGGCTTGTTATCCACCAACAAGTATCCAAACGGTTTTTCAGGGTCTTTGTAATAGGCGTTCATAAAGTGGACTCTATTCTTATCAAACATTCGTTCTCCAACAATTCCAATTTGTTTCCTATCACTAGGACTTCGGTGGCTCCTATCTCCTATACTCCTGGCCCTACATCGACCCTACATCGACCTCACATCGACCCCACATCGACCCCACATCGACCCTACATCGACCCTACATCGACCCACATCGACCCTACATCGAGCCTAAGGAGCTGGCTCTGAGCCTATGGAGCCTCTGCTCCTCTGTGAATCATAAGATTGATTCATTGAATCATAAGATTGAATCATTGAATCCTAGCGATTATGGAGCTCGGCTCCGAGCTTGGCTCCGAGCCATTCTAGCTCGGCTCCGAGCCATTTCATGCTCGCTCCGAGCCATTCTAGCTCGGCTCCGAGCCATTTCATGCTAGCTCGGCTCCGAGCCATTCTAGCTCGGCTCCGAGCCATCCACACGCAGTGGGTGGGTTAATCACTTTTTAATGACTCTGTAATATGCAAATATCGACCATCACAACGGCGTTGACCACGATTTTAACTTGGGTTTAGCAACTGCTTAGTTCTGTTTAAAAATTTTCATATGTATGTCTGAATTCTTATTACTAATTCCTTGTTTAATAGTCCTAAACATGGTGAATACATCCCCAGGGAAAACCAAGGATGGTGTTAAAGTAGCGGACACTCTAAGATAATCTAATTAAACCTTGTAATACAACGAATTCAAATACACCTTTTTGCTCTATTTCTACTGTCGTTTATGATTTTGGAGAATTTTGGATAAACCAGGATATTCTCTGTAAAATTTCCCCTAGAATCTTTGCAAACTCCTATAAATCAGAGATTTTCGTAATGCACAATTCTCACTTCGCATGCGTATAAGTATAATATATACGTCCCACAAGCATTACAACAACTTTAGTGGAATATATATCGAGAATATGTTGAAATCTAGTGATGGGCGATACCAGGATTTTTAATTCGATACCGATACCGATACTTTTAAGATCAGTATCGGCCGATACCGATACCTATTTCGATACCAAAAT